AATACTTAAGAAATGTTGGACAAAGTGTTGGCCAACCACACGCCTAGTAGCCTTCTTGGCAGGATGCATCGTTGAGTGTTGATCTATTTATAATATGTATATATATATATATATATATATAGTGTGTATATATATTATAATTTTCTCTGCATGTCAGTGAGGATCTTATAAATGCATCTAAGTGAATCCGTTTTTGTGTTTAAACATTTTTTATCCCCTGTTGTCATTTTACAGGATATCGATCACACGAGTCACAGCAGATATATCATTAGCCAAGAGGTCTGTTCTCAATAACCCGAGTAAGAGGGCCATCATTGAAAGATCCAACACTCGCTCCAGCTTAGGTAAGAACATAACTGCTTTTTACATAATCTTTACATGTAGAAAAATGCAAGAAAAGATAAATAAATGACTGTTTAGACAGGCCTGTGTAAATTCCTATTATGTATATGTATTTATATCATCATTTTTATATATTTTATATATCATCTATATATATTCTTATCTAAACTACAGTATGTTCAAACATGCATTCACTGATTTAAATTTTTTTTTTTAATGCAAGTTGGGGCAGCAGAAATGTGCTGTGAGCACAACACTGACATGCGTTAAACTCTTATCAACTCCTAAGAAACAAAGCACAATTCAATTTCTAGACGTTCTTTGAACTTCACTGGATACCAGTACCAAATCAGCAGGTAAGTTGTAAAAATGTCTAAATTTGTATTTGAATTGCATTTTGTCTCACCAGCTGAGGTGCAAAGTGAGATTGAGAGGATCTTTGAGTTGGCCCGCTCCCTGCAGCTGGTGGTGCTGGACGCTGACACCATCAACCACCCAGCCCAGCTCCTCAAGACCTCCCTGGCCCCCATCATCGTTCATGTTAAAGTCTCCTCGCCAAAGGTAACAAATGTTGGGAAGACTTAGCCAGACACATCTGAAAGATCAGTTTAACTTTCTGTTACAAGCGCAGTGGCAGGTTTACCTGAAATGTTGTTTTTGACCTGCAAATACTAACAACTAGTTTTATTTTAGTTTCTATGTAGTGTTTTGTTAGCCCACACAAACCCCTTTTATTGAGTGGGTTACATGGACTAATTAGACTAATCATAATGTCAAAACTGAACAAAACAATACTTTAAGCGTGTAATATAATCTCCACAGCTACTGTTCCACACAGTCATTCAGTTGTTGGAGATAAACAGCAAGAACACCTAGACATGATAAAGGTAACGGTCTATATTCAAGGTTGATATTTACAATCCACTTGTTGCACAAGCACAATGTTCCCTACAAGCATACCAGCATGAAATACTGTGCTTTAAAGCCACATTTAAAGTAAAGGCATTTTAACTTAGTGTTTGGAGTCAGTAGAGGCTTTAAATCTGCACCAAGTCATCTGCACAGTGGCACCTTTGCATGGAAGAGTAGGTCTGCTGCACTTCTTCCCTCTGCACTGGGACTACAGCAACGACCAGACCAGGTGTGTGGGTGTGGAGGGTGAATAATCTCACAGAGAGAATCCCCCAGATGCTACCACAGATCAGCAAAGACTTCAAACAGTGATTGAAACGGTGCACTCATTTAAAGACAGTCACATTCCTGGTCAGGTGACTTTCACACTTGTTTTACACCACACCCTCCTGGCATGTAAAATGCTCGCTTTGCTACAGCTGACCAGGAAAGACCCAGGCCTACGATAACAGACCCACTTTAATATGCAAACCTGTAAAAAAGGTTTTCTCTCAAGAACCCTGGTGACATTCACCAATAAAGGTGCTAGAACATTAAAGGTACTGTAAGTGAAACGGGCATTTTTCAACTTCCTGTCTGTTCTTGCAGCTAGCAGTCCCCTCCTTCCTCCCCACGTCACCACACTGACATTCTGCTGCCTGCCCTTGAGGACTGCGTCTTTGTGAAGCTCTCTTTCCTGATTGGATAAAGTGGGAACGGGATACCAGAAAATGTATTCTGTTAACTGCAGAAAGGAGGGACTGGGTGACCCATGTTACTGACTGAATACTTTATATCGTTGATGGCTGTCAGATTGGGGAGCTATTCAACGCTTATTTAACAAAACAATATCACTTACAGCACCTTTAACATGCATAATGTATGGCATACATTAAGGGGATTAAGCCAGGCTATTTGCCACAACCCTGAATACAGCAATCAATCTGGTCATACATTTATACGTAAGGTTCCTTATTTCTGCCTGATGTGTGTATATATTTATTCTGACAAACCTATGACTAGCCAATTAAATCTGCACACACTATAACATTCTCAGTTGTGTCACAGGGAAAAATGTATCCCGTTGCTCGTTAGGAACTTGATTTTCACACTCATCATGTGATGAGGAGGGTACCGGGTGACCTAAAACGAGCGCACCCAAAACTACTTTTGGTTCAGTGTAACTGGAGCATCATGTACTTTTCCTACGCCCCCATCCAGGTTCTGCAGAGGCTTGTCAAATCCAGAGGGAAGTCCCAGAGCAAACACCTGAATGTGCAGCTTGTGGCAGCTGACAAACTGGCCCAGTGTCCTCCAGTAAGTGGCCATCCTTATGTACTGGCTCGGCTTGTCTCTTACTTTTACTTTTTATGTTAATATTTCAGTAACTGGTTCACAAATATGTTTCTGCACTCAGAGACATCTCCTAAGCTCAAATGTGATTCAGATATAATTTATTTAACAATGTATTCTTGTATCAAAATAACTATTTTGCAAGTATATTTTATCACCTAGAACATCTGGAATTGGCTCTGTTTATTTAAAGTTTTAATGGGATGTAGAGCCCGACCGATATATTTAGATTGAGATTTTCCATAAACCAGTAATCTGACTTTTAGGCCTTGAAATGTCTGTAAATGTCTTAAGTTTGATTTTGACAGGTCTTAATATTGATTGCATTAATGTTACTAGTATAAAGTTCCATTTTTTAAGTTTAGCTTTTAAATGGGGTTTTGGGAAAAATTGTATTGATGATGTTGTAACAAATACAAAATGAAACCAACATTGAACCAGAAGCAATTTTCCTTCATATCCTTAGTACTTCTTTTGCCAGTATGGTCTTACAAAGGTCTTAAAAAGTATTACATTTAACCAAATCTACAGAAACTCTGAATAAAGAATAATTAAGTGAAATACATTGTCAACCAATTCTAGTTTGCTGAGAGCTGCTTCCTCTCTCTTACTGTGTCTGGCACAATATTAGAATATTACACACTAAATCACAGCGCACTCTGCTGGATAAAATTTGCAATGACACCAATGCATTACCACAAGCATTTTTTTCTGTATTATATACCAGAAAGAAATTATAAATATATGTTTTCATATATATATATACACACACACCAATATGATTTGGTATTGGTATCGGTATTGGATGATAATTTAATCTGATATTCGGTCTGTTTCTGAATTTTATTGGAGTTTGTTGTCTAAATTTATTCATAGTTTTCAGCTCACAAAATCTACTCCAGCTAACCATATTCTAAAACATAATTTGACTTCAGTTAAGTAAAGTTCATGTTGTTTCAGCCAAACACAACAGATGGGTGTTTATTCAGTCCAACCAATCATCTCCTGCACGCTAAATCCTCTATTTTGTATTTTCTGTATTCACATTATATATTCAGAATGACTTATTTAAATACAATAGAATACTAATAATATATAATATAATAATTCTTTACACAGTACATAGTAACACAACAGGACCTCATATACAATGTCAGTGTGGAGATCATTTGCGTTTCCATCATGAGCTTCATACCTACTCCCCTCTGACCATCTGCCGCTAACAGGAAATGTTTGACATCATCCTGGACGAGAACCAGCTGGAGGACGCCTGTGAGCATCTCGCCGAATACCTCGAGGCCTACTGGAAAGCGACCCATACCTCGATGGCGACGCCCCTAAACCCCCTGCTGGGACGCAACCTGGGCCCCACCACCCTCACCCCCTACCCCACCACCATCTCTGGACTGCAGGTACACATCCAGTAGTGCCAGGGTCCCTTATGGGAATAATTGACTGATTGTGGGTAGTTATTGGGGAGATAATGAAGGTAAGAGAGGAACCCAGGAGAACAGGAATAATCTGCTTTTTATTCAAACCCTTCGGGATCTGCCAAACCTCCTGACTCTACAGTATATTTGATTTAAAATGCATATGAGAGGAACAGTGGCTAGACTTCAAGCATTTCCACACCATGTCTAAATATATGCGTGAGACAAAACCAAGCAAGTAGTTACATTTTTGTGTTTCTGTTGCCTCTTGAAAACCAAATACATAATTTCTTCTAAAATGTCTGTCAAAAATGAGCCTTTCATTAGTTTAAATGAGCATTTGTGTCAGTTTAAAGACATCAGGAGCGAAGCAATAGCATGACGTTTGCAGTTCCTCAACCTACATAATCTACGTATTATTATGAGGATCATTATGAACAGTCTGGTGGCCCTGTAAACAAAATAAAACATAATCCTCAAACACACTGCCAGTTGGTGAAACTCGCCATCCTTTTCTTAGCAAGCATTAAAAGCAAAATATTGTTATGGCTGATGTGCAACATAGGAACCTAAGAAAACGGAACTAAGTGCAGACCTCCAAAGCAGCCTTTTTTGGTCAACTCAACATCAGTGAGCACTCACCTGGGGGAAAAAATAAACTTCTTTTTCAAGGGCAGTTCTTGCCTTCTTAATCAGGACTTATACAGTTTCTGAAATAGATCAGGTTTTATGATTTTACATATTTTTCCTCCTACACACCAAAACAATGTAGATGGGTAAAATGGACCATATGTATGTTAGTGTTTAATTACGTGTGAGCACAGTAGGCCTTCCTCTTCTACACATTGCACATTCTACAAAGGATAATGTTACCTTTCCGAATCCTACACATTGATGTCCAGTCTTTTCATTGTCTGTTGGTGTTGTCTCCAGCCTTACCTGTGTCCTTGGTATGTTCATGTGATTAGCAGAGCCAAAGAATGCGACAGAGCAACCACACGGGAGACCATTCCACCCCGAATGAGCGGCGTAACCTGATGACATCGGACGAAAATTACCACAACGAGCGGGCGCACAAGGGACGCAACCGCATGTCTTCTGGCTCACAGCATAGCCGAGAGCAGCAGGACCCCTACCAGGACTACCAGGACCCCTATCAGGATGCATACAAGCCACATCGCAATCGCAGTTCACCGGGCAGCTACAGCCATGACTCCCGGCACCGGCTCTGAGCCAACTTCTATCATCACCAGGGCCCAAACGGCCCAGATTCCACCTGAAATAAACGCTGCAACAGAGCCAAGATGGTCCCAAATTGTACCTTTTTGTTTTGGATCGCGTTCATTTGTTTTGTCTACCTGGCTATTTTTCTCTTTAAAAGTCCAACGAAATCATGTTCAGGTGTTTGTTTTTAACCAAGCTGCCAGGGCAAACCCCGTCAATCAACAGCGCGAGTAGTCACAAGGTTCAGGATGCCAACATTAACTAATGCTGTAAAATGAATTCCTTAAATTTCTGTTCCTGGGACCTTTTGGGATTGTACTAACAATGCTCAGCAGATGTGCAAAGCAGACTGTGCTTGTTGCCTGTCTCAGCAAGCTAATTATGAATAGTGGTCAGATGGTGATGGTGTATGGGCTTCTACGTGCCTGGGACATCGCACCAGGTCAGAGGGAAGTCCACTGCACACAGACTGCTGAAGGCTGCTGACCCCTACCCTGGGCCATGTATAAATCCCCTCACCATTTAGCTTATTGCATGCTGATAGATGACCAACCTCCGCATCCACTTCACTGATATTTTGTACCTAGCATTCTGGATTCTCCTGTGACGAGGTGTAGATATGGAGGTCCAATTTTCTAAATCACCTGATTGTGTGGATAAGACGGTAGGTGGTGGGTTTGCGTGGGGGTGTGCAGATGATATCTGGCTGCTAGTTTCGAAAACTGGTGCTTCACATTCCCAAACTATTTTGCTATTTGAAAGTCACTTTGAGCAAGGCCAGCTTTTCTGTAGCATAGCTTTAGGATTTCATTTGGGTGAAGACCCTCACCGTCATAAGCGGAGCAGATTCTGATGGTGCTGGGATCAGATCTCAGTTACACTGTAGGAGAAGGCAATATTGCTTCTGTTCTTAACAGCAAGCACTTAGAGAGGTAGAGAAGACAATAGCTGCGACAGTTTGTCTAGTATAGTGAAATACAATAGCAAAATACGACTTGAGATGCCGTTTGATGTTGCTAAGATGTGGACCAGCATAGAAACCAATGCTATGAGAACCTTTCAAGCAGTTTGGGATGTTCTCTCTGATATTTTTGACCCTGCCAGCGCGAGGAATCGGATTTGGGAACGGTGTGATCGACCGTGAAGAGCATTTGCTGCTGAAACTACAGGTTGCATTTATTATCAACATAATACAAGTTGTATAGCATTGAAACAAAAGAACAGGTGTTGGTTAAGTCTTGCGATTGGTTCACGGCCATCAAATATTCCTTCCTGTGGTTTTAGGGGATCAAAGCATTAAAAATGTGACATGGCAGGATCGGTTGCATCATGTTCATTCTCTGTGTAGCTGGCATGTTGTCCTGACTGCAGAGCATGTTCCCTCCAAACTTAAAATAGAACCCTAGTGTAATCAAGTTGATGTTTGTAGAAGTATAGGGCACCTTTCTCCGAAAAAATGAAAAAAAGTAAAAGATGGCCCAAATTACAGATAAATGATTTCTCTGGATCCCTGGGGTTTTTCACTCAAAACACTGAAATGGCTAACAGAAAACTTTAAGTATTGGTTTATGTCATTCTGAAAGTTTTAAGTTTCATTGGATTGCATGACTCAAAGGTGGAGCCACTATAACGATAACAGCTTCTATTAATTCAGAATTATGTTATAAGTGCACTCAAACAACAACAGTGAAAAAAAAACAACAACAACCCAGCCCTCACAAAAAGGTTCAGTGGAGATCATAAGTGTACCCAACCCACATGGTGCTTGTATGGAAAGAGATAGCTGCTGTGGTCGATAATGTTTATAAGGCTTGTTATCATTATCATAATATACTGTACATATCTTATTTTTTAAGATGATTTTGACTTAATTTTCTCATCTTCAGATAACAAACAGTTCTAGCCATTTTTTTAGCCTGAAAACAAAACAGGCTTTAAATTAATAATGCATTAGGGTAAATAAAGAACATTAAATTGAAAAGAACACTTTTTTCGTTCAATGTACTTAGTCTACATAGTCTAGCCACAAATTCATTCCTCTCATCTTTGACAGAAAGAGGCATCCGGAGAAAGTCAGAACCATTTGTTATCTTGAAATACTGAGATAGTTAAGTTTATCTCTATGAACAGTACAGAACAGTATCTGCATATAAGTCTTTATACGAGGGACCAAGACTTAGAGTCTGAGTAGTATTGACCAATGACATTTGAGCGGGCTTTGGTTGCATGCAGGTAAACAGTCCGTGTCCAGAGCTAAGGAAGCGGGACGCATTGGGTGAAAGGCAGTCTCGGAAACCAGCGGCTATCGTGCGAATCGGACAGCAGAGGAAGTCTTTGCCTGGATATCCGTTATCCATTTTCTGGAAATCCAAAGGCCTGAAAGGTTGGCAGTTGCCCCCAGAGGCTAAATCATCACACAATAGCCAATGGGTTCTGAGATTGGTGAAGTTGTTATCTTGATGTGATAAAAATGTAATAATTAGGAAAAACCACAAGAAGAGTTGTTATTTGAATAGTTTGTCACCTCCAGATAATACAGTAATGAGACTTTTTGGCTGCTCGTAGCCTCCGTAGATTTTGACAGTGAGATCTTTCTGGAATGACTAGGAAACTGACTGAAGTGTGTGATCTGATTCATGTGTTCTCTGGCAGTGTGTCTTTGTTTTGTCTACGCTACAGTACACAGAAAGTGTGTTTGTTTACTTTCATTGGACTACAACAATCCTTTGTTATGCCACAAAATGATTCAAATAATGGTATTTTATTTACTTGTATGGAGGACCAAACCTGACATAAATTAACTGATAAAAGATTAATAATTAAATTAATAATGCGATAAATTATTAAAAGTAGAAAAATGTATCTATAAACGAACCAAAAACACACTGCCAGGGAAAAATATTTTTTTCCTGATTTGCTCTCTGATATCAGATATGTACAGTATAATCACATATTTGTCAGAGAAGTTTTCTTTGGCATGTTTAGACAAATGTTGAAGCTGCTTTTGACACTTAGACCCCTTCCTTCCTTTCTGACAAAAACGATGTACAGTAGTGACCGCTGTAGCACCAGATTAGCTTGGTGCTAAACAGTGAATGGACCAGAAAATAAATACAGTCTCAATAGAGGATCCATTCCCTTAAATAGAACGAATATAATACATTTTTTGTCTTAAGATCTATAAAGAGTGCTATCTAAATAGTTAAGATTTGAATACCAAAATTATTAATCAAAAACTGCTTTGAAAAGAAAATAAGTTGGGAGTTGCTGCTTTTAGGGTCATTTCCATTTTTTAATTCAGTCATAAATGTTATGTTAAAGTATGCATTATGACGTGCTGCACTGTTGGCATTATCTGTATCTGTTCAACCAACTCAATGATCTGTAGCTGTACTTGGAAAGGGGCGGGGCTTAAACAGAATGTGGGCGGACCAGCCCGGAAGATGTTCATTTAAGTAAAAATTGAAGAGAACTACAGACTTCAGTTTCTAAAGAAACACGTCAGCAGGAACGTCTTAAAAGTGCTTCATCTGTTACCGCCACGCTCTGTATCAAAGTCTTTATTTGAATCTTAAAGTAAAGTCGACATCAGCTCTGCCCTACATAAGAGATATTTGACTGTCCAGAAGAATTTTACAGCCTGACACAGTTTCAAAATATCTTTAAGCGACCTAATTTGCAAGACCTTATTAAAGCAACTTTCAAAGGAGAGCATGGTGGAAACGCCACACGCCTCCTCCTTTTTATACCCCGACAGCAACCTAAAGCCTGACCTGAAAGCAGCTCTTAATTTATTAAATACAAAACAATGGAAGGTGTTTCTATTAATAGATCACTTTGTATAGATCTGGATGAAAGGGGAAACTAATTTTGAGAAACTTGTATAGCACAAAAGAAAAAGCAACTGTTCCTACAATGTGAATCTAGTACACGGGTACAGATTATTAGATGTTTTTGCCCACATTCCCCATTAATATCTTTGTTGTACACTGTTTATGGACTGAAACAAGACTGCAAATGAAAAAAAAAAAGTGTTAAAGTGTGTAATGCTACTGTTTACAGGCACGCTTATCTGTCTCATTCTGCCCCATAGCATAAATCCCATTGGTTGATTGAACAGGGAGCCATGTTCCATTCAGAATCAATCCAACTAATGTTGAGCTGGGCTGCTTGAGACAATCAGAAGGGATTTCCAGACCAGTGTTCCACCCTCCCTCTCTTTGGGAACGCCCTAAAATGATGAGAGGTTTGCCATTTTGAGTCGTGGAATTAGATCTAAACAAAGCGACGCCACACTCGCTCACAAATCTCAAAATAACTCTCCGTCCTGGCTTTCTCTTACTTTTGTTTGACACTTACCCACAGCCAAAAATGAAGCTCATGACTAATTTTATTTTTCACTGATTAAATCTCAAGGCGACCACAAAATTCTGAACTTATAGGGAGGGCTTTCTTTGGTAAAATGTAAAACAAAAGAGGAAAAAAAAGAAGCAAAAGAACAAATATTTATTCCAGTAGAAAAGTCATAGATTAATATTTGCTGGCGATTATTTTTATAACAAATCAATGTACATAATGTCTTTGAGAGATGCTATTTGCTGTATACATGTGCTGAAATGAGACAACGACCCATGTGGGACACTTGGAACAACAGCAAGGTCCAGTATACAAAGTTTCAGTAATGTGCAATACAAAACGGCATGCTGTTTTAAAATGAGGAACTTCATGTACTGTACTATGCAACCGCAAACTGTGTACATCGCTTTCATGCTGTGGCTTCTCCAACCACCCTTTTCCAAGCAGCTTCATCTGGACTTTTAAGGGATTTTTGTGTTTATCTAATTTTTTTCTGTGGAAGATGAAAACCTAAGCGGTTAATGCGGTATTGCATGCATAATATACCATTCTAATTTATAAAAAGGAATTAAAGAAAAATACATGAAATTGGAGGTGATTGTGTTTAAGGCAAAGCTACAAGTGACTTAAAACATTTCTTTTTCAAAATAAAAGAGTCGTTCTAAAGTTGTCTACAGTAGTTTTTTACTGTAACGAAGGTCTCATAAGCATTCACTCTCTTTGTTGTAGTTTAGTGTAGTTTGTTGATGAATTGATTCTCAATTTGTGACTTCTTGATTTCAGATCATTAAGAAAAAATGAAGGACATAGACAAAGGACTAGGGGGCACTACAATAAAAGCACATTTTTAGGCAGTTGCCAAACTGTAAACCTGAACCTGTGTGAAGCCTGGTATCTAGTGGTGAAAAGCAGGTACTGCAGAGAGCAGAGGTTTTAAAAAATATTTAAGAAGAAGAAATTATAAGTTGACCACA